GGGAAAGAACACCACCCATAGGTTAGAAAAAGGGGTCCCTTGCTCTATGAACATCCCTAATCCATCTTTTGATATTGCCATCTTTCTTACATAAGAAAGGTGAGTAAAGGAAAACAATGTGATCCATTTCTCCTCTGTTTTTTTTTTTCTTTTGTCAGTCTGAGAACGATCCAACGTGATCGTGGTCGTCATAGCCCCGTTCTGTTTCTGTAGAGCTCTCCTTTGAACAATAAAAGAGCCGATAGACGTTGAGTGCAATGCATTGTGGGAATTTCAATGGTCGGACCAACTTTGTGTATTTCAATCATTTCAAATAAACCCACCGGGATAAGTGGTTGCCTCCGTTCATACTTCATAACCCCCCACCTAGGTTGAAGGGCTGCTATAGGACAACAGTGCTCTTCCATTTTTGTAACCCTTTCTTACTTTTTTTTTTTAGTTTTAGTTTTGTGTTCTTTAGACAAAACTTCTTATTCCCTTACGAGCCCACAAAGAAGAGGTCTAACTCAATGATGAAACACTCTTTGGGTCCTACAAATAATCAATGAAAGAGGTACAGTTTTTTGTGTGTGTGTGTGTGTGTAAAAGAAGTGCAAAGTTTCAACAGCAGGGTGGCCCTTTTATGCTATTAACGTTGGCCTAATCACACGCATTACCAAAGAAGAATGTCTGTACTTCTTGATTTGTATAATGTCTCAAGGTGGGAAATTTAGTATATAATAATGTGATGGGCCTTTGAGTTGGTCCATCATCGCTCTTTATGCCACAAGAGTACATGCTTTAACTTCGAAATCATGTTTACTTATGTAATCGCTTTCTAATCATGGGAGATCAAAAGTTCTTCACTTTGCATGATTTTGAGGTGCATACACAAAGTTCTAAATACACGTGTTGAATCTTTATTTTTTTGGGCGAGAGAAGAAAGAAAGGAAAAAATTCTTTTATTCCTATATAACACATGACAGAGCATATCCCCCTATCAAAAGTTTCAAGGGATGACAAAGTGATGGACTTTCATTTAAAATCAGATATTTCCCATCACAACTAAATATCCCATGACCCAAATTGACATCTAACTAATAATATAAATAAATAAAAAAAAGAGTTGGAGAATGCAAAAAACATGAAAATATTTACCTAAGCTTCGATTTTTTTTTTTTTTGTGAATTCCCCCCAATATTTATTTGGTTATCTGAGAAGAGACCCCAAAGATTTGGTGGATGAAACGACACTTCTTACCAACCTATAGTCTATAGACTAAACAATGAAATAACCATACGGTATTCCAATTTTCTATAACCAAAACGACATCAATCAGTCTATGGCCAATGGGAACCCCTTTACGGCCGATGCGCTTTCTTGGCCGGAGGAGGAGGGTTCTGATCAGAACCATCGAAAGATAGGCGGCGTTTAGAGCCGTCTCCGGGTGCCAAACAAGAACCCTTTGAAGCATCCGATTGGTTCTCCATGGAAATTATCGAATCTGGTGTCCTCTGTCTCTTCTCTTCCATCTCCTGCATTATCCGATAGCACGAATACGCACTCTCCTGCAATCCGAAATCTCAAAATGTGAGTCCAAGTCCAAGATCAACGCTTAATTCACGAGATTAATAGCATCACATACTCACATTCTCACTAGATATCCACCAAGGGATCGAGCCGAGCTTCGTCCTCAAGTCTTCTATCGTCAATCTACTGTCTGACGCAGCCAACACTGCAGCAGCAGAGACGACCCACGAGTGATGATCCCTTAGACTGATCTCTGTTACAAATAAACCAAACATTGTCAATGACTAAGCGCTTATGACTTGCGTTGTGTCTCTACGAATCATTTCGCAATGCGTATTGCCATTGATTGCGTTTACCCTTTGTTAGGGCAAGCAGAGATTCAGAGACTCTTGGCGCCAACCCATCTGAGAAAGACTCGTCTTTGAAGAACTTGAATAGGAAGTAATGCAAGTAAGCGAAAGGGGTGATCAAATTCATCCTCCAATCCAAAGTCGTGAGGATTAACAATTCCATTCTCTGGATCAGCTTCGCTTCGAAAACGTAATCTTCTGAGGGAAATTCGGATAAACCCGGAACCCTAAATTCCTCCATCTTCGCCGCTAATGATAAACAAGCGACAGATAACAACCGAATCGCCCAAGATTTGCCCTCCTGCAATACAGATTTCATCGTAAAAGAAACCCAGAAAACGGGAAACCCACATGAGAAACCGTGGGATTTGAGTTACTCACATCGATGGATCTTCTGGAAATGAACAGATCGAAGTAGGAAATTCCCAGATACGCTGTTTGGTGCCCAAACCCGAATTTTGCTGCCGTCTGAATCAAAAACAAAGAAATTGACCACATTAGACGGGGATAGAGAGAGAGGGAGCAAAAGGATTTTCTAGGAAGCAAGTACGGACGTGGATAATCCAATCGATGGCGTCCAATCTGGCCCATCTGTGCCAGGTTGAGCCGGCGACCGTACGACCAGCACAAGACGACGCCATTTCATCGGGTTCTGATCCGACGCGACGGGTCTCTCGCCGGACCAGCTCCGACAAATACTCCTCATCGTCATTAGCCACAGCGACACAACACGAGTCGTGCACCGATCTCCGAGTTCCGACGTTGGTATCGCGGTCGCCGTCTTCATCGAGCTCCTCGTTCAGGCAAGACTCTGTTTCATGGCAGACGAGGAAACTGGAGAGAGGGGAACTCCCACTACCTGAACCATCGCTCTCACCCATCTAAAGACGACAGCGATCTCCGATGTTCCGTACACATCTAAAGAATAAGAGGATAAAAAAGGGAAATCCAGGACATGGGTATTGCTTGTCCCCGCAGTGAATTATCTCCTAAATCTCCGTTTCCGATTTTCCTTAAATGATTAGATTGATGAAATCTAGCGAAACAGGAAAGATATAACACGGAGAGACTGTGTTCGTCTACCGGTAATGGTGCCGCCAAAAATAAGTGGGGAGAGAGGGGGCGTTATTTAGCGGTTACATTTAAAAACAGATAAAATTTAACCCTGTTATTTATCTAACAACTATATTATTCTAATTAAAAAAACCCTAGTTTAAACAGCTGTCCCTGTTTTTCAGATTCTTTTTCATCAGAGTAGTGATCGAGTTATGGTGATATTTTGGACTTTAATTATATTTTAATTTGCTTATTTTTTATTCAATTTAAATTTTTTTAAGCATTGCGTTTATATCCTTTTGGTTTAATTCGATTTCAATTGTGTAAATTATATTCTATACCTTTTTTTTTCTAAAAACAATATTTTATTTTCGTTTCCTATTGAATAAATTATTGAGTTTAAACAAAATAACATCCGATCAATTATTAAATTTTATTTACCCGTTACGTAACTAAAATGTCCTCTTCAAGTGAAATACATTATAAAAGTATATAGTATAATTATAACTTCAGCTTTTGCCATAATGATCTTAAAGTTATTAAAAAACTATTCTATGTAGTAAAAACTCCACCGTATACAAAAAAACAACACGATTTTGGCATCATAGGGAGTTTCTTGTATAGTTTAAGAGAAGGAAAAATGCGCAAAGAGTGCTCCACCCAGGTTCGAACTCCACTTTTGGCAAATTACATATTATCAAAAAAAAAAAAAAAGAGAAGGGGAAAGATATACAAATACGATATAATGAAATCAAATAAACTATATTATATAAGCTTAAGCTTAATTACTGTCGATGATGAATTGGAAGGCCGAGTCCACAGACGGTCCCTTCTGTCACCGAGAACTTCGATAACTAAGCAAAATAAATAAATAGCAAAGGCTCTCCCATCCCATCTTTACATGTTCTTCTGCCTTTGACAGGTGGTCTCCATTACTAGTTGGCCCTTTTTTTTTTCTGTGTCAATTATATATATGTATATATATATATATATGTGTGTCATATATATATATATATGATATTCCGATATTTTATAATATAAGATGAAATGTCTTTAAAATGGACATAAAACCAATAAGACACGAGATCCGAAATCTGCGACTTTCATGTTTTGTGTTAGTGAAGTTGCATTTGTTCGATAAGCCACTTGGTACAAATAATATTTTGTATCTTTTGTATAATAATAATAATAATAATAATAATATGTGCGAGCAAAATGGCTTTGCGAATTTCTCGTACAGTGTATGGTACAACCTCAACGATATATATAACATGACTATTATCAAGTTCTATGATAAGACAGTATGTTACGCATGTACATTAAGCGGTAGATACGTGTGTTGTCTTTTCTCTACGGTGTATGGTCCAACCCTTATTTTATATATGTGATTTTCAACCACGGTTATGGGAAAAATATAATTCGTATAAAATGCGAAGCGAAACAAACACATATCATACATTCTATGAAAGCCAAGATACACGGTCCCTCTTTCTCCGGTAGAAGGTCGAGTCTCATTGATGACGCACGTGACCGGAACTGCAAGCGAGGAGCGTCATCACGTGTGAAAACGAAGAAGAAGATGCTCCATCTTGTAATACTAATACTAAACCAAAAGCCACATGATGTGATATGATTTTACATTTAATAAAAAGATCATTATTATTTATTTAAAATAAACTTTTAGCTTGTATATTATAAACCCATCGTACGGAAATAAACATTGCAATATATTATCCATCCTCGGGGCTTAGTGTCCACTTAAGGAGATCCTAACAAGTTTTCACGATTCCGAGACGTCGGTCAAACTTTGACCGTATCTTTTCTATTTGACGTACATGTCCACTATTTTCCTTTTGGGTTACAGGTTGGATGAACAACAATAGTTGTAGTATAAGATTTTATCAGTATTTTATTTTTTTTTATTTGTAGAATCTCAACAGCAAAGGTGTCGTGGTGTAGTTGGTTATCACGTCAGTCTAACACACTGAAGGTCTCCGGTTCGAGTCCGGGCGACGCCAATTTGCTTTATAATTTTTTAATTTTTAATCTCTATATTTTTAATGGGCTACAAATTAAAAAGTGAAGCCCATATTGTATTAGATAGGCTTTGACGTACCAATTATCAGTGAAGCCCATGGGTCTACTATCATCCATACCCTTACGAAAACGAATTATACGACATAGCACGATTCTACAATGATGTACCAATAACGGTCCGGTAAAATTGTTGCCTTTAGTTATAATATTTAACAAATCTATTTGTTTCTTATTTCGATTTCTTTATATTTACCATCATATATATATATATATATATATAATGAATTAATAAATACAAATTTGAATAATTATTCCCCTCATATTTTAGTAATTAGCATATCAATCGTTTATTTAAAAATATAATGTAATATGAAATACTAAATGACTAATGTCAAGATTAAAAAAGGCATTAATATTCAAAAACTTGATGAAATAATTTAATAAAAACAAAATGATGTCCTGCATGTTAGACTATGATGATTAGATATCCTATTGCTCCTAAGGGAGAGAAGGCTTGTTTACTTATATCATGCATTGGGAGGAACTTTTGCCATCCCCTCATAATGTGAGGCCATGTGCATGTGCATATCCTCATCATCTCACTCATCTTTTACAAATTGAGTCCTTAATCTGCTTCACATGCATGGACCAATTCGGTGATGATATATATATATATATATATATATTATACACATATACGATCTGGATTTTGATTGATTTGTAGAAGCCACACAAAAAAAACCGTATGTTATACGAGTCGGTCGTATGGTATCGTATCTTTGTCGACCTACAAACACCATAGTAGAAAATTTGGTTCATTTCAATTGGCATCGAACCAAATCTGAAGTTAAGAGCCCTTTGATGGCAAATTTACATCTATATTGTTTCTAACGTAAAAATTATTATTGATCTAAAAGAATGTCGTTATTCGATATAATAATTTTTTAAATGTTTAAGATTACGCTATATATACATAATAAATTATAATTAATTAATATAAATATTTAAAACATATATATAAATCATATCAAATGTATGGGAAATAAAATATCATATATCATAGATTCATAGGTAATATTTTATAGATAGAATATTTGACTAAAAACACTTTGTGAGATGTAATAGTCTCTACAATAGAGATGTTATATAGATTGAAATTTCCTATATTTTGTAACTATCTTATAACATCAAGACACATATTTCCAAGAAAAATTCTTTGTATATATATATATATATATAAAATCGAAGGGGAAAATCTATTGATAATGTGATTAGATTCATTAAACACAGAGAGAGAGAAAGTGCAAGTGCAATGAATCAGCTTGTTATTAGGGGAGGGGAGATGCATTGGATTCTCTCTTAACTCCTACTTTCATTAATTCTTTAACCACTTCCAATCGCATGCTTAATTAATATTCGTAAAAATTAAAAATGTAAACAAAATTAAACGAAATTACAACACCCACACACACTCTGACTTGATTATTTCAGGCATCCAACATATTTGGACATACTCTTGCCTTGAAATCTCTCTCGATATACACACGTGTGTGTAATAATATATAGGTTTTGTTTTTATCCCTAGAGACATAACGGTTGTAGGATTACTTTTTTCCCTACTAATAATAACTCTGTGTGTGTATACATATAGATATAGATTAGGGGTGTCAATTTGGGTCCGAGACCCGAAGTTCGGTCCGGCCCGGCCTAATCCGAAAATTAGCAGGTTTCGGGCCGGTCCGAAAACCCGATATTTTTTTAAAAAAATAATAAATTTTACAAAAGATTTATGCGGGCCGGGCCGGTCCGAACCCGATATATATAGGACTGGGCTTTGGATTTAACTAATTAGGTCCGAAAAAAATCGGGCCAGCCCAAATCCGAACTCGAAACCTTCGGACCGAGTGCGGACTCGGGCCGGATCGGGTCGGGCCGGCCCGATTGACACCCCTAATATAGATATATTGATATTCTACATAGAAGACAATCGTAAAAAAGACCTTTTTATAAATAAGAAAGATGAAAATATGAGATTAAGGATTAAAGGAACATTAAAGAAGTTTTATGATGCAAGTGAATGTTTTATGATCATTAAAAATCAATACATATTAAAAAATTAGATATGATTGGTTCGTACAACATATTCATAACGAAATTTGACGCGACAAAAGTAAATCGTTGCATTAAAAATTCATCAATCTCGATCAAGTTTTGGAGAGGTGGGAAGGTGGGTTTAATCACAAAGTGAAATTTAAAAAAAAAAAGTGGCAGATTTTTTTTAAAAAAAAGGAGATTTACAAAGGAAACAAACAAACATATCCTGAAAAGAAGGCGAGTTGGTCTGAGAAATGGGGGGCACACAAGTAAGTGCTTTGTCAACACACACACACACACAGAGAAGGAAAAAGCTTACTACACCTTCGCCATTGATTTGCATTAACATTAAACGTCCCTCGCTCTCTCTTTCGTTGGGTTCTCGCGCTTTTTTCTGCTTTTATTTCATTTTCTTTAAAGGGGGGGCTCGGAATTTGCGTTTTCTGTTTTGTGAAAGGTGACCGTTTGATTCGTGAAAAGGCAGATGAAAGATTGAGGCTTTTCATATATCTGGATCTGGGTTGGGGTGCCTCTGTTTCAGAGAGACGTTTTTGACATCACTTAGCTCGTTTGTAAGCAAGCATTCCAAAAGTAAATACAAGGGTTTTTCATGTTACGTGTTTTGTGGGGTTTTCTTCTTCTTTTTTAAGCCTCTTGGGGAGAGAGAGGGAGAGGTGTATACTTTCATATAAAGATAGAATTGAGCTCGCTAATGATTGACAGAGCCAACAAAAAAACGGAAGATTGCTTCTGGGGAAGAAAGAAGGCAAAATGCTTAAACTTTTATCTCTCTGGTTTCGTCTCTCTCTGTCTCTCTGCTGCGGTTGTCTCTCTTTCTTTCCATTTGATTCCATTAGGGTTTCATATTGGTTCATTGTCGCCGATGCCAGATCATTTTTGCGATTTCGTTTTGTAAGTTCCAGAGAAGAATCTCTTTTTAACATCTATGATACTTTGCAAGAGCTCTCCGGGTGAACGTTTTTGAGGAGTTGGGTTTTTCGCCGAAGACGGCAGCCTGGCAAATCGAATCGATTCCTGTTTATATAATATTAAAAAAATAAAGTCTTTCAACTTCCATTTTATATAAATAAAAAAGGGAAGAGAAGAGGGAGGCATGAATGTTGCTCTGAGATTTTCGTTGCATGTATCGAGAAAAAGATCTCTGCCACTGCCACTGATGTTCACTTGTTAGCTCTGCAGCACCATCCATTGAGAAAACACCCAGAAAAAGATTTGATTCTTCCTGTCTGTTGATTAGGTGGTAATCTTCAACTAACACCGAGAAATTCCATTTTCGATACTTGCAGGAAACACTTTCTTTTTGACATCGCCAGCAAACAAAGAACCAAACTTTGGATTCGGGGTGTCTGAAATCCAAAAGGGTCTGTGTATTTGCGTTGTGTCTGTGAATGTGTGAAGCGCTTTGGGACAATAGATAAAAGGAAAAAGAGAGAAAAAAAAAAGAGTGGGGGAAGGGCGGTGGTGTCAGTTTCGAGCGAGTGGGTGGGTGTATTGTGCATCTCAACGTTATTATATAATTCTTTCTTCCCCCAAGATTTTATATGGGTTTGTCTCCAATGTTCGTTTTCGAGATGTGAGACTCCATTAGCAAGCTTTCCTTGAGTGACCCTTTTCTTGGTCTGGGAGAAATTTCCTGTTCCGACTAAGAAACTTGCCCTCGTCTTTAGCTTCCTCTGGTTTGGGACTAGAGCACATCTGTTCCATAGGGTTCTTCAAAAGTTTACCTCTGGAAGTCTACTGCTGGTTCTGGATTGTGTTCTGGTCGGAGCTGAGGTTCTTGCAGTGTTGGGGCAAAAGGGAAGGGGAAGCAACTCCTGGAAAAAATGAAGTTTATGAAACTTGGATCCAAACCTGATTCATTTCAGTCTGAAGGAGACAATACAAGGTGTGTGTGTGTGTGTGTTTCCTTTTTCAGGTGTGGATCAGTTGCAATATATATACAGATATACAGCTAAGAACTAGCTTCTAGATCTGAAATGTTAGGAATATACAGAGTTATCTCATGGTTCTTGTTCGCAGAAACAGATTTTATAACTCAGATGCTCAGTTATGGCTATTCTATTGTCTCCTCGTGTTTTTTTAGACTTGCCTGTGTTTTTTTTCTTTCAGGTATGTGGCTACAGAATTAGCAACCGATCTTGTCGTGGTGATAGGTGATGTGAAGTTCTATCTGCATAAGGTAATGTACTCTTTAAAACACCTAATCTTTACAAGCAAAGAGAACAGAAGAACAGTTTAGTTAGGCAACTCTGTAGAAAGCTTAATACACGTAGAAGATAATGGCAGAGCATTTTCTGATGAATTCATTACAAGAACCCATGAATGTTTTGTCTGTAACAGTTTCCATTGCTGTCCAAAAGTGCACGCCTTCAGAAACTCGTCACGATCTCTGATGATGAAGAACACCGCGATGAAATCTACATGCCGGATATTCCTGGTGGTCCTGCCGCTTTTGAGATATGTTCCAAGTTTTGTTACGGCATGACGGTGACCCTAAATGCCTACAACGTCGTTGCAGCTCGTTGTGCCGCCGAGTTCCTCGGGATGTATGAGACTGTTGACAAAAGCAACCTCATCTACAAGATCGAAGTGTTCTTGAACTCGAGTATCTTCCACAGCTGGAAAGATTCTATAATCGTTCTCCAAACCACCAGGTCTCTTTCTCCATACTCCGAGGAACTCAAGCTTGTCAGCCGTTGCCTTGACTCCATTGCTTCCAAAGCTTCAATGGATGCCTCGAGAGTCGAATGGTCTTATACTTACAACAGGAAGAAACTCGAGAAGGGAGGTAATGGTGTGAGAAAACCGCAGGCTGTTCCAAGAGACTGGTGGGTGGAAGATCTCTGTGATCTTCACATCGACTTGTATAAACGGGTAATCACTACAATTGAGACGAAAGGGAATGTTCCGGCCGACGTTATTGGAGAAGCATTGTATGCTTATGCCCTGAGAAGGATACCCGGTTTCAGCAAGGGCTCGCCCCAAGTCAGTGACTTTGGAAAGTATTGGCCTTTGGCTGAAACCATCATAGAGCTTATTCCGGATGAGAAAGGCAGTGTTTCTTGTAGTTTCTTGATCAAGCTGTTGCGGGCGTCGGATCTTCTCGAGTGTGGAGAAACCGTGAAGAATAGATTGACGGAGAGAGTTGGCGAGCAGCTGGAAGAGGCGTCGCTGGGTGATCTTCTGTTGTACGATGTGGATATGGTGAGAATCCTAGTCGAGAAGTTCTTGGCACGGGATCGGGAAGCCGATTTTCCACCTACAGAAGACGAATTATCCTCGGATGTTTCGAGGGCGTTGGTTGCAAAGATCGTTGACGGATACCTCGCCGAGAAATCAAGGGATCCAGATCTACCCCTTCAGAAATTCCTCTCCCTTGCTGAAATGGTTTCAAACTTCCCACGGCAGTCTCATGACGGGGTTTATCGAGCCATCGACATGTTCCTCAAGGTATTCAATCCATCTTCACAAAGAACTTGAACTCGGGCTATATGTGTAAGATATAGAACTTGCCCTTGCCCTCGCCCTCTGTCTGCATCATTTCATTCCGAGCCGAGCATTCTTTCAACTTCTTGTTGGATTTTGATTAAAGGGTCATGCTCTGATCATAATTCAGGAACACCCATGGATCACAAAGAAGGAGAAGAAGAGGATATGCAGGTTGATGGACTGCAGGAAACTATCGGCAGAGGCCTGCGAGCACGCAGTCCAGAACGAGCGTCTGCCATTGCGGGTGATCGTCCAAGTCCTCTTCTTCGAACTGGCCAGAGCCAACGGCTCATCCACAGGAAACAGCACGCCTGACCTCCAGGCATCACGGTCCACGACCATAACCACAAACACGGAAGAGGACTGGGACCAGGAGGAGATCAAAGCCTTGAGAGGCGAACTAGCGAATCTGAGAATGGGGAAGAAGGGACGAGAAAGCGGCAAGGGGAAGGTGATGAAAGGAATGGCGGTTTCAAGAGTGTTTTCGAAGATGTGGTCAGGTAAAGACAGGAGCGCAGAGATCAGCAGCTCGTCGGAGACGTCGAGTCCTGGCTCTGTCAATGGAGATTCCAAGTCGTCTTCTTCCACAAGCAAGCGACATTAATGGCTTCTTCTAACCTCTTTGTTTCTCTTACCAAACCTGATTTCCATTTGTCTGGCCCTTTTTCCCACCTGCAAGCAAAATCGGTATGTTCTTCTTCAAAGATGATGATGATGATGATGATGGTGGTGGTATTAATGGTGAGCCGAACGGGGTTCAAATGGAGTTATGGGCCCATTTGAAATCCATGATAAGCACACGGCCCAAATTCAACAATCTCTCTATAATGACACCCCTACAAAAAAAAATGCCACATTTTCTATATGGTTATGTTACAAATTCATTCGTGATAATTAAGATTAAATATATCTCGGGCTTACAATTGAAGAATGGTATATCATATACTATAAATCTCCCCCGATAAAAAGAGTTATGTATAAAATGACAAAAGATCGAAGCTTTTAACGACCAATTCGATTGAAAAAAAAAAACGCTAAATAATTATTTTTTTAAAACTTAAAATTCGGAATGTATATATAACCAGATTTAATATCCAAAATGATCACCCTCTGGCCGTGAATCTTGGTCTTGTTGCTTTCAATCCATTTTTCAAAATAATAAACGACAAATATTGAGACGAAATATATATATATATATATATATATTTCACATACATAATTTACATCATTTTCCTTAATTATTGTCCCATTCCCATCTTTGAATATCCATTTTCCAATATTATATCACAGAATTTCTGGGTTTTGTTTTTTTTTTTCATAGTTCAGATCGAATGATGATGAAAAGGGACACTCGGTTGGGATTTAACGGGATTTTAGCCCTTGGAGTTGGATTCCAAGTAATATCATGATTTTACACATTTTGAAGATTAGTACAAATTCACATATATATATATACCAAGAATAGAACAAAACTTCAAATCCGAAATTATCGATATACGAATATCACCCCCACATGAACAGAGCTTAGTACACTTGTTCATGAGTGCATGCATCGACAAGACCTTATGACGCGTTCACACACTGCAACCAGAATATATATATATGGATACAAACAATACATCAAATTAAAATCAACTGTTATATAGGGACCGAAACTAAGAAAGCTTGGTCCAACGACATCATACAACAGCCCTGAATATTAGCAAAGATACTAATAACCCAACACACAAAAAAAAAAAGATGATGATGATGATGATTTTGTCCACTCTCGGACGCGACCTTTCGATGAGCATATTCCGAATTTCGATCTCTCCCCTTCACTTCATAGATAAGATGTTAATACACAATAACATTATATATATATATATATATATATAGAAATGAACCACTTTGTTAAACCTTTCAATTAAAAAAAAAAACAGAAAAAGACAATTTATTACAGATAAAATATAACGTAGGAAAAAAAAAGAAGAAGCTAAACCCATTTACAAAACTGGGCAAACGTAACCATAGGAGAGAGAATGCTTTTTACCACTAACTTGACAACTCACAAAACAAGAAGGATTAATTCTAAAACCAACAAACAAAAACTACCCTAGGATTCGATTTTTCATTTTAAATTTCGTTGAGGAAATTTAAAATTAAATTAAAATTCTCTGGGGTCAACAAAGATGGAAAGGCCAGGTGGTGACTTGGTCCCTCCCCCAAGCCGTTTGATGCACCAAAGATCCTCGGCGCACGATAGCATCTTCCAGTGAGGAATCCCCCGCCGGAATGGCTCCCCGCCGGCGACCTCCGCCGCCACGACGCCGCACCCTCCGTCCTTGGCGAGGTTGTGAGCGTGCCGGCAAAGGGCCCTCACCATCCCCGCCGCCTGCGGGCCCTCCCCTCCGATTCCGTACAGAAAGTAAAGCCCAAAGGGCCTGAACACCTCCGGGATCGACGGTAGCTTCAGAAACGGCAGCGTTTTGTCGATGGCTCGCGTCGTCTTCGCCACGGCTCGTCTCACGCGCGACGCGCCTCGCACCTCCAACCTGTACGCGTCCTTGCAGTTCCACACGCTCAGCACGGCCCATGACTCGGCCGGCTCCTCCAGGAACTTAACCGACCCGGGCCACGACCCGGACCAGTCACGTGGCACGGCGACGAATGTCCCGAGAACCGAAGCCGGTATAGCAACTCGGCGTCGGCCGGGTCGAGACGGAAGATGGTGAACCGCCGGTTAACGGAGAGCCGGTGGGCGAAAACCGGGTTGACCAGAATCGACGGTGTACGGAACTTGGAGTAACCACATTTCACAGTGAAAAGCTCGACGGAAGCGCGGTTGTCGTTTTCAGTTGCGATGTAAGAGTACTCGGCGCCGTTTTGTCGGAACCAATCTTCCATTGTCGTCACGAGCTTAAACCCTATGCCCAGCCTCCTGTGAGATCTCCATTGAAGAAAAAAAGTTTTTTTTTAAAAAAATTTCGAGTAATTAAGAGAATTAAACAACGTGATCATTGGTTAATGAATAATATGGAGGGGACCTGTGGGAAGGAGAGACGCGGAGGCCCAAGACGTAGGCGAGCTTGGTGTAGACGGGCTTGACGACGTCGTTTTGGGTTCTGTGAGTTCTGTCATGTCTTTTGCCACATGTAACGGTTTTGATGCATCCTCTGATCATGCCCACTATCTCCTTCTTCTCCGTACCTATCTCGGCCACCTGTTGCATTAATAATGTTTTCTATAATTATTTGTTCATGGACCCTTTATAAAAAAAAAAAGTCTCGAACTTTTTGGTTTATTAGTTGCTATTTTTCTGCCTAATTCCATTCCATCATAACTTATATCCAATATTTGTATTTTCTTTTCGGGTGAGACACGGAAAAAGACAGATCTTTTTAAAACTTGTTTCAAGGAAACGAGTTTTAGATTAGTTTATAATTAGTTGAACTAAAAACGTCAAAAGCTCGTGGCTTCTTCATCATCTTCTTCACTGAAAAACGAGTTTCTAATTATCTATCGATTCACAGAGAGAGAGAGAGAGATAGAGAGAGAGGAAACATAAAGGTGTGAGCTTTTTTTTTTTACCAGCATGAGAAAGGCGGGAGAATGTCGGACCCGACATATCGGGTCGCCCAAAAGGTCGGTGAAGAGAGAGAGCTTGCCGCTCGGACCGACCTCGCACCGCCTCTCCACGTCCTCGACTCCGGCTAAGTCTCTGGTCGGGTCGTACTCTCTCACCACCACCACCACCATATCCTCTCTCTCTCTCTCTGTCTCTGTATCTCTCTCTCTCTCTCTTCGAAGAAGAAACTATGAGAAACAGGAATTATCGGGACTCTTGGACGACAAACAGGCGTAGCTTGCTAGGGTTTATATATAGAGAGGATGTGACTGTAAAAATGGAAAGTCAGCAGATTTTTCGAGGGCAGAGGATTTTCTTTTTTTTCTTTATGTATTCCTTCGAACAATAACGTAAGGTTTAAGCAAAGACCGGAGTGGAGCTATGAGCTATGGATTTACCGGATATTGAAAAGTTTCAGGGGAAAAAAAAAGAGGATTGAGAAGATGAAAGACGTTGCTCATGATTGATGGAGAGATGCAAGAGCTCTTCTGAAGCCTATTTATACTATTAGTATTACTGCCCATTCTTTTTGTTGTTAGACTTTATTTCAAATATTGTTAAAAAAAGATATTTATTTCACTTATTAAAAAAGAACATTGCGCTAAATTGATAAATATTATATTTTTAATAATATATATTAACTAATGCTGCCAATATTTGAAATAAATAATATTATATTGCCACCTTTTTTGAAAAAAGTCCAAAATTTATCAATTTTTCTTCCTCGGCGTGTAATTCTCTGTTTTAATAAATTACTTGCTTTCAAAATATTTTATAAGTACATGGGGGGGTTTTGACTCAAGGAAAATATATATATATATATGTTATATAGATAAATATGAATTTCTTATTTATACTTTATTTTTTCTGTATACAATAGCGATATATATAGATTAAATCTTGAAAATATTGGTAAATATCTGCATCACATTTGCTATCATATTCAGTTTATACAAAATTTGTAAACTTGCATTTTTTAACAAAGTTGTATAACTATTTTGTGGTGAATCCATTAGACTCTTGTTCCGTTTTACTTCTAGATATCTAAAATTGGAGATGCTCCATCTTCCTTAAATTATTATAGTCAAATTTGGATATAAAATATTTTTCCAATAAGTGGAATTATTTATTTACCAAACATACTGTACTATATATTATATTTATTCATAAATATATTAAAAAACCATATTATACATGAAAAAATAGATAACGATAAAATAGTCCTCTAACAGTAAAATCAGAACATTGATTTTTCTCCTTCACGAGTTACCATTTGAATACGAATATATTAACTTTCCTCTTCTTAATATATAGCCTTTGAATTATATTTTTTTTCACATCTATTTTAAAAAAGGAATATAATTCGATATATATTGATGATTATATTAATGGTAATTAAAAGCGAGCATTGATATGGAACTTGACCAAAGAGAGAAGTGGTGAGTGGGAGTGAAAGAGGAAATGGCGGCTATGGCTGCGCGAACTCATGGATTCTCTTTCCAATCTCCGTTTGTTTTCCCAAAATTATCCAATCAAATATCATCATCGTCATCATTAATTCATTATTAACATTCTTAATACGGGGATTATCCAAAAATAAAAATTGGTATTAAATAACAAATGAGAACAATAGAATCGTGAATGGCTCGTTGAAATCTAACTTAAGTCTTAGGTTCGATTCCGATAATAATTATGGGCTTCAAAAATAGGTGTTATAAACTTAAAAGAAAAAACTGAAATTAACGATAATTTTTTAAAAGTAAAAAATTTTACAGAAAGTTTGATACTTTAGTTACGTCAACCCATGGGTTACATTTTAAAATGAACCTTTATATTTGGTTTATATTAATTGTAACTTTTATAATAATCTTATAAACAGAGTTAAAAATAAAAAACTTTCAAATATTCTAAAACCTATATTCAAATTATGATTATCCACAAGTCCTAAATTATGTACAGAACTAAATAAATATCATCAGTTAAAATTTCAGAAATATTTGATATTTTTTTATAAAAATATAGATTATTTAGATTCATGTATAAATGAAGTTCTATAGATAAGAAAAAATTAAAGTTTTTTTTATATATTTCTCTAAAAACGAAATTGGTAAATGCTTCACGTGTATGCGAGGGGAAACAAAAAATCTTCGAGCGGATCATTACAATCGAGTTCCCTTTTG